CTTTGCGATTTACAAGGCTTCGCAGAGAGAGCGAAACAGAAGGCGGTATTAAATTGCCGTTTGAAACGAAACGATATGGACTCGGAACGCTCTCTTCTTTTGTAGAGTTCTTTACCAAATGAAATAAATTTCGTACTTTCCGCCGCCAACAAGAATTGCACACACGATCTGATAAGTGAGACAATTTATTTATAACAATGCCAATGGCGACAGCGAAGCACACATAATATAAATCCTAATGTGGTCGCCCGACTTCCCTCATGATTTGAAGTTTGAGACTGGTTTTCTGTTGAAATTCGTCCTAATTTGCCTGTTCCGATTTTAGTTGAAAATGAGCACTTGCAAATTTGGCAATTACTGACTGCGTTGCTTGCTTTTTTGGAGTTAAAACGCAGCCATTTACACATTGTTTATTAGTGTTCTGAATATTAAAGCAGAGAAAACCCCGCAACATTTTAATGCGAGTTTGTTTGTTAATATTTGGGTGCTGTCATTGGTTCTTTTTTGACAATTGACGCGCGAATGGGGCGTGTTATGAAAAGGGGCGTATTTCAAAATACCGGGCGATGGTTGCAGGCCCACTATCAAGTTCCCTTGGGCCTGCACGCAGGCTATTGTTTCCCGAACCCATCTTGCGAAACCAATCCCGGACTCACCGAACCTGCAAGTATGTTTGGTTTTTATCACATGCTATTTCGGTAAAAAGTACTAAAGAGTTTACACATTTTAGCATACATGCTGACATTCTGCGATAACATTGCCAAGATTTATATAAACCTGCCTGTGCCGAACAAATTTCGGCGGCCATCTTTCTTCACTTCCACTTTGAATACAATATTCCATTTTCATCAAACAAAATTAAGAAAAGTTATAGAATAATTAAAAACAATTAATTTATTTTTTATTTAAATCTTCGTCTGAAATTTGTTCATATCGCTTCATAATGGCCGCCGCTGGAAACATCGATCTCGAACTCTCTTAAAGATACGTCAGCAGGTGGGTTCGAGATTGAACGCACCTCCTCGTAGCCAATAGGAGAGCCGCTAATACGCTAGATATGAGATAAGAGATTGAGGTTGTGTTTGCCTGACTAGAGCTGAGTTATTAGTTTGTCATGCTATAATGCTGCCGCCAGGCAAAACACGAGCCTTTGAGGGATTTTCTGCTGAATTGTGTTTTGGATTGAATTTTATGAATGCATGTATATTTGTGTAACAATACTTTGAATTATAGTTAAGGGTTATTGGCAGTTATAAACACGTGTAGCCTGCTTGCAGCCCGAAATTTCATTCAAAGAAAACCGGAAATTTGGGTCTGTTAAACTGCGAAACTAATCGTGTGCCGTGACGTACGCACTTACATGGAAATAAATAACGCATATTAATTGGTTTAATAGCCAAGTCAATCTAAGCCGCGTCATGATTGGCTTAAATTTCTGAATTAATTTTATGATCTATCCTGTGATAACATTATTCCGTCTTACAACATGGCCCTCGTCTATTTCCAACTGATCGTTGGAGTGCGTGAATGACGCTCTTGGAAGTGTTTGTTCGACATGTGTTTGTCTATCTTGTTGTCTTTTATGCTTTCCTTTCTGGTAAACCGCTAGTGAGCTCCGCATGCAACAATCAAGCAGGCTTGATCTTTTTCGTAATTTGACTAAACACTGTCGGCATATATAAGCCGAAGAAATACCCGATACCCTACGAAAGATGATTGCTCGAGCTTACATCGTATAGTTTGTTATTGCTTTGGTTATTTTTTATTTTCATGAATCTTTGTGTCATGTTTATTTTCATGAAGCTTCGACGAGCGCTTCCCTAAATGGAATGCGCTTGATTGCCGAATGGGTTGAATTACAAAAACAAATTACTGCTAGATCAGTGCAAGCAACATCTTTCAAGTCCAACAGCCAAACGTGATATGATCTTTACAGCAATTACCTAGCAGAGTGTTACGAATATGAATTGAAACTACAGTATTTTAGTATGCAGTCCACACACAACATTCAACATATTCTTACTGCCACATTTACATTTTTCAAAAACAGTATAAAGTTACAATCATCTCTTATGTGAACTCTTCACGGACATGCAGCTACCTTTCTTTCTCCCACTGCCTTGTATATTCATTAAAGTAAGAGAAGCACGTGTTTAATTTATTTTTAGATACTAACCCTTAGTCAACAGAATTAATGCTTCATAAATAATTATTCCTTGCCGTAATTTTACAAATTGTTGCACCGTACACATTTAAGTCATCTTCACGATCATAACACTAAATATTCAATTTATAATTCGGTATCTGTTTCAGATTTGCATATAATCTTTGAAAGGGTTCGAAACCTATGCTGGTGAAGCAGTGGAAAATAAAATATAAGCATGCAAGAGCGCGCTAATTGGCTGGAGGCTAACTTATGTCAAAATCTTTTATTACTCGGTGCCCCGGACGAGTATAGGTTTCGGCTTGCATTTTTCTTGGATCGTCGATAGCCACAAAATAGAATATTAATGAGCTGCTTGACCTTTTCAAAATGGCGGGGACTTTCGTGGAGTGGGCAAAATGTTTTCAACAATTTCGTGAAAATTTTGAACCAATTGTACCTGTTTTCTATCGATTTTGGATTGTGTGTAACTGTGGACATTCCTGCTAGTTTATTTAATGCGTTTTACTTGGTGCACGGCTCTGAAAATCCGAAATTTGGATCGTGGAATTTCCGTGCACGATCATAATTTACTGAATCTGAATATAAATGAGCCAAAGACAATTTCAAGGTAAAAGGTTATAACTTAAACTGCACAACGTAGTTTTAATAAATAACTACTTTATGAGAAGCATATTCGTGTCATATCGATATGAATTTTATCGAACAACAGTCCGTGAAAACTGCAGTGTACTCAGTGTGAAATGATATTGTATTTGTATAAATGCCTATTACAGTAATGGCGCAATAGCCAATAAGGATAAAAATACCACTGTTCGATTCAGCATAAGAAATTGCACTTACGGATGCCAAATGTATCACTAAACAACAGTATTCTAACGATTTATGGACTTTGAAAATCAAGCGACATTTTTATTGTTGACAAATTTAATACTCGCCGTTTGTCCGACCTTGTATTTGACCTTGTATTTGTAATGCCTAATAGTAATAAGTAATTGCGGATAAAAATATAAGAAATTGTACTCAACGTAAGAAATTGTACTTATATGTGAATGAGAAATTGTACCTACGGGTTTCAACTGTATTACTAAACAACTGACAACACTATTTACAGTATTCTAGCGATTTATGGCGTTTGTCTTTGAAAGCCAAGCGAAATTGTATTTATTTGTTGATAAATTATAAAAATTATATAAAATGCAATATGTTTGATCCTTGATAACTTTGGTATCATTGGTTTTCTCTTGTTCGGCCGTATACCAGTGGATTCGTCTAACTTCTCTCTTCATTTTGATAATATTTTGAGCCCAAAAGCCCAAAAATATTTTAGTTTGGACGTTTTAAACTAGCGGCCAACAGAAGAATGTAGCGTTCTACAAAATACAACTTTTAATACTTGTGGGCCATAAACGCCGGAAGTTTTATTTGTACTTGTAGCACAGAATAGCTTGTAGGGTACCGCATTTTAGTGTGTTAAGCTTTCGCACTCGTATTCGACTTTTCCGCTTAGCTCGGGGTCAGGCTTAGATCTTAATAGACCTTTCCCCTTTTCAGTGAAATTTTGATCTAGATTAGCCTGGACAAAAATTTCATCACAGCTTGGAAGAGCATTGCAGAATTAGTAATATTCCGACGTTTCGTTGCAAAAAGTTGTAAAATGCGGAAAATATAGCCTTGCGAAGTTTGCCGTTTTCAGTCATTTTGCAGTACAAACGGAAAATTGATAATTAGATAATGAAATTGATGGTCAATTTCCCATTTGTAATACAAAATGACTGAAAAACGGCAAACTTCGCATTGCTATATTATCCGCATTTTAAATATGACTAATTTTGTCATGCTCTTTCAAGCTGCAGGTGCAGAATAACGTACACAGATGGGCGACTTTGTTTTTCCTATGATTTTCCTACGATTTTGGCAGATTTTGGAGTAACCGTAATTCGTCACCAAATGCTGACGTCATCAAATGCTGACGCCATTCACCCCCTGATAATATTCAAAATGGCGGACGTCCAGGGGGGAATGCCTCTCAAACCCGCACTGGCTAGGACCATGGCGTCAGGATTTTGATGATGAATCATGGCGTGGCAGCGGTTACTCGAGTCGACCTTCTGTGTGCATTACTCTGTGCTGCAGGGACGCCGATAGCTTGGCGGGGGCCCGGGGCAAATTTTTCTTAGGGGACCGTATTCAAAAATATTTCCGGACGAGTACGTTGTAAATGCTTTTGTGGGAAATTACTGCAAATTTTGCATACCAAATTTCGGTTCTTTGCCCGAAAAAAACAGATATTGTGACGCAAAAACGGAAATATTTCGCGCAAAAAAATGACTGGTGCCCACCAAAAAATTTCTAGGGACCCCCAGAACCTCGTGGCCCGGGGCAATTTGTCTCCGTCTCGGCGGCCCTGTCAAGCTGTGATGAAATTTCTGTCCACGCTAGTCTAGATCAAAATTTCACTTAGAAGAGGAAAGGTCTATAGAAATATCTGTGTACTGTATCTGGCATCATATAAAGTAATGTCCGTATTTGTACAGCCCCAGCGAGTTAACGCTCCATAGAGCGTCTTGTTTTTGTTATAAATCAAATACATTCTAAATGAATTGGAAAGTTTCAATGTCTTGATCCGTTTTCTTGACCCATTTTGCATGAGAACTTAAATTGAAAGCATTCTCCCGTAACGTATCTAATGGACAGACAGTTATCTCACCATTGAGTATGATGTCAGCATGCCCCTGATTTGATATAGACAAAGTAGCATGATAGTTATAGAGAGTCACACATATTCTACATTCAAATTTCAATCAATTTCAAATTTGTTGAATCTATGTAACTTATTTTGCTAGATAATGCCACTTTGTGTTCCAACTCACTTACTATTGAAGATAATGGGAAACAGATCTTTAATGGAAGTATTGTTGAATCGCTGGTTCTCTTGCTTGAGGTACGTGGTATAAGCCTGCAAAACAGGTGCTTGGTAAGGATATAGGCATGAGAGATATTGCAAGCAAGCTGTATTTAAATAATAAAATATACAGGTTATATTACTGCAGTAATATATTTACGTGGTGTTTCCACAAACAAAAATATTATATGTTTTATCGCCATGCAAACATACAAAGAACTTAAAAGCTGCATGTATTTAATTTAAAACAATATTTAGTGTCCCCAAGAAATTGTAACACACAAAAAACTTACACCACAATGTCATATAAAAACCTGCGAATTTGATGGGATTATTTAGTCACCCTACTTTTCACTGTTTAAAGATATAATTGCGAATTGAAATTTAAATACCATGCCCAAAGGAGCTTGAAGTCGTTTAAATCTTTGATTGAAAAATTGGTGCAGCTATAATTATACTCGTGCTCCAGCGAAGCATAGCTCGAGTCTTGGTTTCAGCTTGGTTGAAAAGTTTCTTGGTTTCTTGGAAAAAAATGTTTCGACTTGTATCTTTTTTCCTAGGTGAAAAACTTTGCCTGAAATTTTGCACAGTTATTAATAAAGTTATGGAAAATCGATTTTTATTAAAACGAAGACCAGCTTTTTTGTGAAAACACAATTTTTCGGCTTGGTTTTGCCATGGTCTCACTCGAAAGGACAAGGTCAACGTAGCCATGTTTGGCCATGAAACTCAAACCGCCGAAAAAATATTTTATTTATATATTTTTTCCACGTGAAAAACCTGGCCTAAAAATTTGCACAGTTGTTGATAAAGTTATTGAAAATCGATTTTTATTAAAAAGAAAACCGGCTTTTTTGTTAAATTTTGATTTTTTACCTGGTTTTGACCTGCTCTCACATGTGAAGACAAAGGCACTGTCAGCCATTTTTACTCATGAAACACGAAGTGCGGAAGAAAATATTTGGACTTGTATCTTTTTCAGTTCTCTATGACGTTAAAAGAGTCCCAAGCTTTTGACTCACAGGAAAAACCGTATCTTTAAAAAAAATATTCGTTCAACCACTTTATGTCTTTAAAGGTGTACTGACCTTTTCAGGCTGTTCTAGACAAACCACATTTTCTTTACATTTTTTCCTCTTGACTGTAGCATAAACTTTAAGCACATAAACCTCTCATTTCCATATAGTTTATCCGAGAGGTAAACCGTTTTGGTGTTCATTTGCAAATGAGTTTTAACTAGCCCATGTTTTTTATTTTAACTCTTGCCGTGTCTTTCTTTTCAAATGTTGATGTTCGAATGAGAATTTCCAATATTCGAAAACCTACGGGGGAGGGGGGGGGTCCGCGCATCACACATAGATCAGGGGCGTCGTTGCCGCTTCCACGCCCGTGTTTTATAGCGCCCTGTTGTTTACCAAGTAGTTTATAGCTTACACGTTTTTTTAGTTTGCTTGTTCCAGGTTACCAAAGTGGCAAGGAAATTTGTCTCATATAGACTACCTTGATCACGAGTAGGAACATAAAGTTTAGTCGCCATCACTTGTTAATTTCGTGATGAAAAACTGACTTACTTTTATTTATTCACTTCAAATTTTTTCAACAAAATCCTGTAGTTGGATAAAAATGCGTAATCAAATCTTATGTTCTTAGAGAAGTTTCGGAAAAGACGCTATATCATACAAAAACAACACTAGAAATAGAGACGCCTTTGAAAACTATTTTTAGAACTTACTTCACTAAATAACCTTCGCTTTTTATTGACATTTTTAATAATCTTAATAATACGCAGAGTTTGTGTGTACTATATAGTGTCCATGTTTTCCATATCCGTGTTTTCCATGTCCGCGTTTCCCATGTCCGCGTTTTCCATGTCCGCGTTTCCATGTCCGCGTTTTCCATGTCCGCGTTTTCCATGTCCGTGTTTTCCATGTCCGTGTTTTCCGTGTCCGTGTGTCCGTGTCCGCGTTTTCCAGCTAACCAGCTATCACGTTAAACAAATCACTTGCGCTAATTGTTCGTTTTCGTGCAATTTTTAAGTGTCTAAAAGGGAAACAAACATGGGCGTACCGGGAAGGAAAACATTAAGGGGGCGGAAAGAAATTTGCCCGACTTTTTCGGATTGTGCCCGCGTTGTCAAAAACTCAAAATTTCCAAAATTGTTGTTAACGGAGGAGTGATTACGAAAAATTCCTATTAGATAGCATATTTCCCACAAAATTGACAGAATTTCCCACAAAATTGACAGAATTTGCCCCATTTATTTTATAATAAGCAAATATTGCCCTACTGTGAAGCGAATATTGCCCGACTGGCTTTGTTTGTCCAACAAACTGGGGGGCTCCCCACCTCCACCCCTTGCCCGGTACGCCCATGGAAACAAACATTTAAATAACCGGAACAGTATATATAACAAAACAGTTAATCGGAGTCACAGGGGTGGAAAAAGTATCGGAACCTGGGAACCTAGTTCCCAGAAATTTTTTTGAGTTAAGAGTTTTGCAGAAACTTTTCCAGAAAATATTTCAACATTTTGAGATAACTCTGTTTACTCAACTTACAAGTTACAACTATTCTACTTTATACTGTAATATCAGCAGCTTGCAGCATATTTGACAGAAATTAATTCTTTTACCCACCCCTGCCTTCACAATTAGGTAAAATGGTAAATATATGCTCTGCAAAGTCTCCAATAAAATGCAAATTAAATAGTAAACAATAAAAGTGATGGAATAAATAAGATGATAGGACACCTAGTTAAGCGTTAGATCCTTACTAGTTGGTCATAACTCATAACTGTGGTACATAACAGACAACTATTGTGATGTATGAGCATATGAAAACACCAGCCTAAAGCCTATTATTACTAAAGTATAAATGATACAATAATTATGCATTTGTTTTGTTATTTTTTTAACTGTAACATTGCAAATTTTACAGAAAATTTCTAACCTTCGACCCAGGTTCCCAAAAAGAAAAAAAAAATTTGCCACCCCTGCGGAATCACTTTCAATCGTGTAAGCGCGACGTTGCTTCGGGTTCGAAGCATGCTGAGGCAGAATTGGCGAAGTTATCGTTGAGAGTATTAAAACAGCAATCGTTTGGTTATTTAAATGGCTCTTCTTTCAAATAGACTTTAAATATCTTTACAGATAACTTAAAATATGTTAGGTATAGCATTTTCTTCCAATCCAACAAACAGAGTTTGCAATAAAAAAGGCGTAAAATACTGTAAACCTAAATTTCATGTTGAGAACTGAAACGCTTCGTAAAATGTTTTGAAATGTTTATTGAAGTAAACTGCCTTTGCTGATAATAAGCTGTTTTTAACTGAACAATATAAAAAAAATTCAATATTTCATTTTCCTAAACTTTGCAGCCACATAGTTGAAAAGGAAGCGGTGCGTTCTTTTATGCACAAAAGTAAAGCAACAAACTTTTTAACACCTATCATATGCATATTAATATGAAAATGGCATTTAATACGAAAAATGCAAGGTTGTGCACATTCCGAGAAAGGGAATGAAAACCCGAACACCATCTTATCTTGATAATCAACAACTAGAACAAGTCCATGACACATATCACCGAACTTGGTATTACCGTTTCTAGCGAATTATCATGTTCAAGGCACATTTAATTTCACTGTAGCGAAAGCCGACAAGACAATGGACCTTGTTAAAAGGATCTGCAGGTACATCATGAACTAAAAGAAGACCATTGTACTGCACCCTCTTCAGGCCCGAGTTAGAGTATGCCATGTGCAGTAATGTATGTTCACGTAACACTGTTAAACACCCAATCATCAATCGAGAGCATTCACCGGCAAGCGGGCAAATATATATTGAATTATCCAAAGGAAATTTCATGCACAGAACGATTGATTAAGATCGACCAACCTTATAATAATATCATGTTTATCGTGTTGTCAATTGTGTATTAAATTATTGTGCTTCAAACCCACCCAGATTCAATTTTGCCAAACAAGATGCTCAAATCCTAATATTTACCACTATACTACAACAATGGTATCACCTTACTGGTTACTGTAACTGGGCTCTGTAGTCTAAGTAGTAGTCTAAGTGCTGGGTTTAAAGTTTTATTTTTCGCAGTTGCACCAATTGTATATGAATCTTTGTTTGGAAATTGCATCTTCTCAATGCCGACATAAATCATTCATTTCCATCGAACAAGATGGTCGTGTTTATCAAGAAATTGAGTTCTATATTTTCCTTTGCATTTTTTCTTTCATTGCTGAATTGACAAACTGAATCATTGGTACATAGGTTGAGCTGTTGTGAGACACAGCTTTAATAATTTTATTATTTTACATTTTTAGGCTATTAGCATTGTGCTTGTGGTTCTTCAAAACATTCGAACTAATATATTAAAAGCAACCCAGTCATCACAAAGCAAGAAGAAAAAGAAAGTGTTGCCACCTGCTCAGGTAATTATGTTATATATTCAGCAAATTTCCTCCCGGGAATCAGATTTATTTTCCAGTGATATAATCTTCAGTTGTCTGTGCCAGTGTAGGTAGTGCCAATAATATTAACAAGCTTTCGTTGGTAGGGATGTAACTATCTGAATTATATAAGGAGAATTTTGACGTTTCGATCGAGGGCCATCCGTCTGGTGATACTAGCGATAGTCGGGAAAATTACATGAACTTTTATACTAAGGTCAAAGCAAAGTATAAACAAAAAATGTAAATCACATTACAGAGTATATTAAACTGCGACTAGCCCCAAATATGATTTTTTACATGTGTAATATTTCGGTCATTCAAAGAAGAAAAGTATAAGAAAGAAATTTATCTTCATAGTAAAAAATTCCGTCTTAATCAACTTTTTCACTGTCATAGTTTTTGGATATGATGTCATTAGGTGATTTACAATTTAGTTTTCCTTCGTTTTTTTGTACCAAAAATTCACCTAATGACATCAAATCCGGACACTTTGACAGTGAAAAAGTTGATTAAAATGAGGTTTTTTACTATAAAATACATTACATTTTTTCTTAGAATGATCCAAATATTACACAAACAAAAAATTATATTTGGGGTTAGTAACACTTTAATACTAATATACAGACAACTATGGCAAGTGCAACAATATATATGAAACAAGTATGGAATAAGGTATAAATTAAACGTACTGTCAATGTCTGCTTTAGTCAGGCAAAGACAGACAGAGTTAAACATAGGAAAACCGTTCATTTAATACCATAGGGGGGACAGTCGAATTTTGGAAATGCATGAGGCGCATTTCATATCTTGTGCGGCTATAATTGTTCCTTCCAGAAATGGGGCAGAGGGCTCCAATCTTTATATCAGAAACACTGTACAGGGAATCGATCTTTTCATAGTTTATAGGGGGGGGGGGGGCATGGTTAGGAAACGCGGCAAACTTCAAAGACGATTCGTGCGCTTGGCAACCGATGTTGAAAATTCTGTCACGTGAATGTCACCGTGCACACCAAAACAAAATGGCGGCCTTGACGGAGGAAAATTCTGTCGTATCTGGCGATGATTTTGATGAAGTATTAAATATTTTAGAAGAGAATGAAAAAGTTCAGGAAGAATCTGAGCATGATATTGCCGATGTAAGTACGCAAGTAATTGTAAGTACGGAAATTCTATTCGTATGGTAAATATTAGGTTTTTTTGATACTGACGATTTTAATATATAAGATAGAGGATATTAACATATTTTTATTATTTTTGCTCTTGTTCTTGTTCTTGACTGGATAGAAGAGGTTTTCGCGAATAAATGTTATCATTGCATGGCAAAGAAAAGAAACAACTTAACTGTGAACAGGTGTTTAACGTCAGTTACAACGCCGCAATTTGCTCAGTCCAATCAAATTGTGTAGAAATCTGAATTAAATATTTAATATTGAAATTCTTGAACATGCATATAATGAACGCCGTGGATATTTATCCCACATTTGATCTATTTCTATAATGAATAAATATAAGAGGACCATGTATTGTCTCTTTTATTTATAGGTTGAAACTGGGCACTTTATTTGCGAGATGTGTGGCAAAAAAATGCAAAAGTAAATCTAGTTTAATTAAAAAGGCACACAAATGCAAAGCATGGTCATGCAACCAACAGCAGTGGCAGTATTTCCCAAGATGACTTAACAACTCGCCTTCTTTCCCAGATTGTAGAAGAGACTGCATTAAAACCGAGCAAAATTGGCTGTTATCCAAAGACAGGGCGAGATGAACTTGCATCATACTGTCTGGTTCTCAGGGCAGAGATTATCAGAAAATGGGCAACGTGGAGAAATTTTATGCACAGTATTTTAGTGAGGTACCACCCAATGATACAAGATATTTTCCAGGAATTGCTGACAAGACAGCAACATTTCTTGCCACTAAAGTTGCTGATCATATGTTCTTGCAAAGAAAGAAAAGAACTTGGTTGATGTCGACCAATCTGGACGGTCCAGGGATATAACTAGCACTACAAATACTATCCTGTCAGAAAGGGAACGATCTGGGGGCAATACCTTGATGGCTATGTTTTCACAACTTACACAAGAAATTGAACTTGGGATCCAAGGATAGTGTAAAGTTTCATTGAAAAAGACACGTACGACAAGAACTGTATAGGGTCGCCTGCAACCTGGAACAGTAAGAGCAGGCATAGGCTAAAGCAAGCACGTTACTCAAAAATGTGGATTAGAACAACGTTTTTACGAGATAAACAATTCTTGATCCTTGTGACCAGGGCTGCAAATTGCTGTCGGACATCGGACAATGTCTGACTAAATTTGACAAATGTCCGAGCAACAGTAATTTTGATCGGACATTGGTCCGATCACAAAAAAGTTGTCACATTATACATTTTTTTGCTGTGACAAAATCCGATGCGTCGGAATGGCTATACAAGCTTGTCTCGTGACTTATATATCTTGTGACGTATATATGTCACAATGTTGCTCTGAGTGCATATCACACCAGGCAAGCTTGAAAAATATGCCTGGCCACGGTGGCCACAATATCCCGGTGTGGATATGCACTCAGAGTAACATCACAAGCATCATATTCACCTGAGTACACTACACCAACACAGAAAAATCATGGTTATCTATTGTTTTTAATGCGTTCGGCACAGGAGTAGCGTGACGTTTGAAACAAACCTAACACATCAGAAACGTCGTGCCTCGTGGAACTGATACAATTTATTTCTTTATTGTGATGCTACACGCGACAACTCGAGATTTAAATTGTTTCACCAACAGCCAAAATTTTGTATACTCTGAAACTATATTTGCATTGGGAGCTAAAGTATCCCCACGAGGCTACTGATATACTAAACTTATTTAAAACTATGATTAGTCCCGTCGTCCTTTTTGGACAGAAACGTAAAAATGAGGCGAAAAACTGATTTAAATAACGCATTTTATCCCCATATCCGTCCCTCATTTTATCTCCATATTCGTTCTGCATCTGCGGAACTATTGCTGTAATATATTTTAGACTAATTGTTCGTAGTTGGTACACAATTCATATGATCATATGATCATAATCAAGTAAGTGAGACAACAGACCATACAGTATATCATTGGCTCAGCATAATTATAAGCTATATAGCACTTGCAACCAATTTTTTCATGCTGGTAAAGCCGGTGGCAGCATAGCAAATCCAACGTATTTAAACTTAAATTGCTATTATGTATTGTACATAATGCAATGCGGTAGGCATAAAATAAGTCTTTCTGAAGCATTAGTTAATTCCAAACGTTATTACAAATGTTCGAACTTTGAGACAATGTGAATTGCCACAATTAAAGTAAGTTATACTGTTACAGGTATTTATTCTAACCTTCGTGAGTTGTAGTATATCCATAGCTACATTAGAAGGATTATATTTAACCCAGGAGGAATATACAAATTTGTCAGAAAAAACTAATATTGAATTTAGAATTGTTTTCTGATACGAAAAGAAATATTTAACGCTATGCTCATAAAATGGAGGAGTTTATAGCGTGGGTATTTATCTCAAACATGGACTCATTCAAACTCGTGGCCATTGGGTGCAATGGCCCATTGCATTCGCCGTTCACAATTTATTACGAATCTTAATTTTTTTAATAGTACTAGTGTTACCAAAATTTTTCATGACCTGCCAGAAATTGGAACTCTCTGGAACTAGTTATGGAGAGTAGAAGAGCATAAGTACAATCTTTTAAATTAGTTGGAATATTTACAGGTAATTCAAAAAAGGTTGTCCTTTGCAAGCCATAAACTCTAAACCTTAAACTCTAATCGTGCAAAGCATAATGGGAGCATGATTTAATCAGTTTAGAAATCATTTATGGGTCCCAGTTCTTAAAGACATGGTAAATATATCAATATTTCGCCTACAATCCTCCGTCCCTCACAAGCACGTTTTCAAGACTATCATTCCTAAAAAATCTGCCTGGTCTCCTTCACAAGACGAATATGGGTCACTTGGACTATTGATTGGAAAATGTCGACATGATATAGAACAGCTCTCCAAGGTTTGGTGAGCGACTATTATCTACTTTAAGTGTTATCTTTTTTTTGCGACTATTAAATGCATTCCATGCAAGCATGCGCAGTACTCACCTCGACCTCAAAATCATGTGGCATTCCACATGTATAAAGTAAAAGCGACTCAGATAAAAACAATTCGTATGAGACTATAATTTAATATTGCGCAAGTGACATGTCACGTTGTTGAACTGTGTCGAATCATAAGAAATACGATGGGATGAAGTTGAAAAGCTCCCATTTATCTGCAGTTATGTTAACCGATTCTTAGTGCTAAAAACTATTCAAAATCATGTCTGTGAGGAACTTAAAACATATGGTTGTGTTTGTAAATAGCTATTCAGGCTTGCTGTTTAATCGATTCGAAATGGCAATCCCTGTTGAAAATTTGAACTTCCTGTTTATCTAGCGAGATAACATGCAGCCCAGATGTTCAATTTAACAAACATATTTGATTCTATGCCATTTGAATTGTATGACGTTATTCATCGGTCATAGGCCATATTTTATGCATGCTTGGATCTACCCTACTTCCACAAACACAGAAACAGAATGTTCTCCAAACCTGTACACGTTTTGCTATTTTGTTCAATTTACCCCAGCATTACAGTTGACCCCGGACCGTGCGCTGTCTCTATCTGTCTTCCATCTGTCATTGCCGGTTTTGTATTTCCCAAATAACGGTAGAGTCGTTCTTTACACACGGCTACAACCTGGAACTGGAGCCGAATCACACTAACACTTCTGCATCCACCCTTTCTTTCTGTTTATGACGTAATCACGCTTATCATGAACAATAAAATTTTAGTCTCAGGCAAAGGCGACGGTAAATTGTATTCCCTTGAGCATTCTAGCACACCGTAGTTTGATCGGTTATTTGCCATAAAGCGAGCATATCTGTGTCGTATTTGCCCTACCAAGACGGTAGATGCAGTAGTTGTTTTACATCAAGTTTCGTGGCTCAATAAACATTCCAACTGTTCAGTAAAACGTTCGAAACTGTGTTGCATGGCCGTTGGTACAGGTTTTATGTGAATTCTACTGAAATACAAATTAGTTGTCCAAAAATACTTTCGGTTTTTTGGTCATTTTTGTTTTGTTGTGGTATATGCTAAAACAATTATTCATCTCAGTGTCGGTGAATAGTGCAAGAAGGATATTAACCTTAACGCTTCGCGTTTCGGTAGATCTCCCTGCACTATCCACCTCCTAATTCCAATATAATGTAACTGCGCATGCCCTTTACATACACATTGTGAATTTCCTAACCCCGCGGAAAAACGTCTGTGTATGCGTCAACTTTACTAAAATTCGCCTTGCCAACGTGGTGTTAAGTATTCCGTTGTCAAAAACTCAAAATGGATGCGACAAGGAGCAACTTCGACGTTTTGTCTTTTCTGCGAAAATGTTAGCGGAATAATGAATGTGAAAACCTAGAAACTAGGAATAATTACAGTTTTTGCGTTCAGTATATTTAAGGGTAATGACTTACTCTACAATATAATCATGATTTCCACTCCGTTCTGCGCATCAGTTCTACTCAGGGGGACCCCCAGATATAAACATTGCCCAAATTTTGCATCTTTCGAACTTTTTTGAATTGAAACGTAGAGTTTATGTTCATTTACAAGCATAGCGAACCAGAAAAGTGTTAGATATTCAATTAGTATATCATATTTTACAAATATATCAGTTTAAAATGTAAATAAAGTTCGCGTATGCGCACAGGAGTGGACATCATCTTTAACTATTTGATAGTTTACTTAACTTTTCTGCCCTAAAGTTCTGTATTAGACAATTTTTTAATTGTGCACACGCCCCCGGTAAAACGATAATTTTTAATTTAAATTTCTTTTTAGATTTTAAATATTAAAAAACTTTTTATTAATGTCTAAACTACCCGTTTAGTGTATTTTTTTGTTTGTTTCATTTACCTTAAATAATTAAATTTAAGGAATGTTTTTGTTTACTATTTGGCATTTAAAATCCTCAACATTTGTTTAGTACGCGCGCATGCGCAGGCGTTTTTCCGCAGTGTTGGATTTTTCATGTTGAAAGTTCTTCATCATGCAGCATATATTGGTTTATGCAATTTACTTTTTTTTTCTTTTTTATTAACTTTTCGATTATTTGATTAACTTTTTCGAGCATTTTTTTTCAATGTTGTATTAACTGTGATAGTTTTGAGCATTTTTTTCAATATTATATTGACTGTGATAGTTTTATTCCATGGAAATTTTCATATCATTTGTTCATATCATTTGAATCATCCATGATATGTGTATAAACGGCCCAAATATATATTTTAGAAAGAACTTTCAGACGCTTATCAGTTGTTCGCTGAATCACTTTGTTCTGTGGTTTCTGGTATTCATGATGACTTATCAAATAAACAAGTTCTTAATTTGGCTGAAGATTTAACGACATTGGACATAAACGAGTTATACAAATTGGTAAGAATAAAGCAATATGTTTTGTGGAGTTCAGGTAGGGAGGGTAACAATATATGCCGGGATAAGAAGTAGTGTATGTGGTTTTCGTGCTGGATTTTTGTGGGATAATGGGATAAACAGATCGAAAAGATATTGAAAAAAGTTGGGTCTGGCATTGCAATGTTGCAAAGGGCTAAAAATTTCGAAGCAGTAAGCTCACTCCAAATGATTTCCAATGCCTTGATTCGGCGTTATTTTGATTACTGTTCTCCACTATGGGACATGTGTGACACACAACTGCTTGATAAACTTCAAAAATCGTGCGGCAAGAATAATTGCTGGCGCAAGTTGCGAAATTGATTCTGCTGTTGTTCTTGAAACTCTTGGTTGGGAAAATTTGAAAAGTAGAAGACAGAAGATGAAGTCCATTCTGTATAAATTTCTAAACGATTATACTGCTCCTAACTTGAAAGAGTCATTGATTGGGAGTAGTTTAACGCAAGCGAACTGTAACTTAAGAAATATCTATACTGATTTAGCTTTCTCAAATCCGAGAAGGGAATTCCCCCAAAAAGTTTTAAATACAGCGGGGCAAAGCTTTGAAATAGCCTTTCTCGGGAAGCAAAAGAAGCATGATCAATCCATATTTTCAAAGAAAATATTAATCTTTGATTCTGTTACTAATGTTAATGTAGGGGTCACACCTCCTGTATTCAGCATGCACGCTTGTAAGTAGTTTTTCTCTGTTTCTTAAATACTTTGTATATAAATTGACGACCCCCCTCATGAAAACCAACGTGTGTTGATGAGGCTAGCGTCTTGAAATAAATTTTTACGATACGAAGCCCAAGTTAACATGTACGGTGTTTTTAGCTGTTGTTATGGTCAATTGTTGCATATCACACAGTCATTAAAAAGTGAATAACCCGCCCACCCAATGTTTATACATTTTTCTATTTCACCAAGCGAAATACAAGGGGAATATTTTTTCGTTATGGTTAGGGTTAGTATGCGTTGTGGGTTTTGTGAGACATATGAAATTTTGTCTTGTTGACATCGAAAATGTGTGCCGCCACAGTCATTAACAGTCGTTAAAGGACTATAACAGGCAGAATCCTAATTAGATTGAATCATTGAATCCTAGATTGAATCATTAAATCCTAAGATTGAATCATTAAATCCTAAGATTGAAACATTAAATCCTAAGATTGAATCATTGAATCCTGGATTGAATCATAGAATCTTAGGATTGAATCCTAAGATTGGATAATTGAATCCTAAGATTGAATGATTGAATCCTAAGATTGAATCATTGAATCCTAGATTGAATCTTAGATTGAATCATTAAATCCTAAGATAATTAAATCCTAAGATTGAATAATCCTAGATTAAATAATTGAGTCCTGTGATTGAATCATCGATTCCTAAGATTGAATCATTGAATCCCAAGATTGAATCATTAAATCCTAAGATTAAATAATTGAATCCTAATTAAGATTGAATAATTGAATCCTAAAATTGATAATTGAATCCCAAGATTGAATCATTGAATCCTAAAATTGAATAATCCTGGATTGAATCATCGAATTCTAAGATTGAATCATTGAATCCCGATATTGAGTCATTGAATCCCAATATTGAGTCATTAAATTCTAAGATTGAATAATTGAATCCTAAGATTGAATAATTGAATCCTAAAATTGATAATTGAATCCTAAGATTGAATCATTGAATCCTAGATTGAATCATTGAACCCTACATTGACACAGTTGGATTGAAGCAATAAATCCTAAGATCGAGTAATTGAATCCGAGATTAAATCATTAAATTCTAAAATTGAATCATTGAATCCTAAAATTGGTAATTGAATCTTAAGATTGCATAATTGAATCCTAGATTGAATCTTTGAATCCTAAGATTGAATCATTGAATCCTAGATTGAATAATTGAATCCTACATTGAATCATTAATCTCTAAGATTGATTCATTAAATCATAAGATTGAATCATTGAATCCTAAGATTGAAGAATTGAATCCTAGATTAAATAATTGAACTCTGAGATTGAATCATTGAATCCTAGATTGAATCATTGAATCCTAAGATTAAATTATTGAATCCTACGATTGAATAATCTTATGATTTAATTATTCAATCTAAGGATTTAATGATTCAATCTAGGATTGAAAGATTCAATCTAGGATTCAATTATTCAATCTTAGGATTCAATTATCAATTTTAGGATTCAATTCTTCAATTTTAGGATTTAATGATTCAATCTCGGATACAATTATTCGATCTTATGATTTATTGCTTCAATCTAGTATTCTATGATTCAATTTTAGGATTCATTGATTCAATCTTAGGATTCAATAATTCAATCTTAGGATTAAATGAAACAATCTAGGATTTAATTATTCAATCTTAGGATTCAATTATTCAATCTTAGGATTCAATTATTCACTTTAGGATTCAATTATTCAATCTTGGGATTCAAATATTCAAACTTAGGATCCAAGAATGGGACAGGATCTTGCATTTTCGTAACCAGCTTTTTCGCCCTTTTGAGAGCAGTGACTAAGATTGAGGAATCGGATAGTGAAACATCTCAAACAAGCGAGATGTGTATTCAAAGCATAATTTTGTAAATGTTTTGAAGAAATAAATATATGCCCGCGAAAAGCTACAAAATTGTTTTCACAATTGGATAGACTCTACAGGTTGGAAGCCTCAAGATTTGGGGATGATGACTCCAGAACAAAGAAAGTGTTACGAACGAAGGCTACTTCGCGAGAGACCAAAATATATTCCAATGAAGTCTGAAGATATTGCAAGATTATCGTCAATCTCGTACCCAGAGCAATACCTGTGCGCGGGCTAGGATGGCATTGGCTCTGGGGAAATTGAAATTTTTTCTGTGCTGTGATTGGTTTAACGTTTATCAATCGTGCATGCCGACAAAGAACCGGAACCCCTAAATTTAGGGGTTCCGGTTGTCAATTTCCCCAGAGCCAATGCCATTATAGCCCGCGCACAGGCATTGCTCTGGGTACGAGATTGGATTATCGTCTGAAGACAGACATGAATACGCGAGATTTTAAAGATACGCTTAAACGATACGCTCTTAGAAGTAGACCTTATTAACCTCGTAAACACGTAAAGAAATAAATGTGTTTTAAAACTAAATTTTTGTGCTAATTTTTGCCCGCAAATCTACGCGCCCGATGCTAAGATACACGCCCGCGTAATAAGTAATTCCTATCTATCCATAATAAACACTTAGCTGTAATCCTTTAACGTTTCTCAATGACTTTGGCAGCATACGTTTTAGATATCAACAAGACAAAATTTGATATATCTCGCAAAACCCACAACGCATACTAACCATAACGAAAATATGTTCCCTTGTATTTCGTTTGGTGAAATAAAAAAATGGGTTAATCACTTTTTAATGATTGTGTAATATGCAAATATCGACCATAACGGCGTTGACAACCATACATGTTAACTTTGGCTTCTCGCCAAACACTGTCTGTAAAAGACTGTGCTTAGATCAAATGTTTGGAAAATTTGTAGCGATGCTAATTAAAAAGTAATGGACTTTTGTGACAAAAATTCTGACGTCAGCTGGCTTTCTTGCCCAGACTCACCTTGCATATCATTATAATGTCGTTCATATGCCTTATGTCCGTTTTCGATATTGTAGCCATTAACTGTACGTCTAATTGGTGTGTCCAACTGTGTCATGTTTTGTATGTTAAATATTAACTTTATAGATTTAACTTGTTCATCCTGGTAAAGATGAAACTTTTGATGTAATATATGAACAACGAGAGCGAGTGTTTCACCGGGATATCCAAACACGAGAAAACAATGTATGAGAACACGAGCGCGAAGCGCGAGTGTTTTCATACATTGTTTTCGAGTGTTTGGGTATCCCGGTGAGACACGAGCTCGAGTTGTTTATATAGCTTCTCAAATGAATCGAGACGTAACAGAATGTTTTCGTTTGCTGATTTGAATAGAACCAAGCATAACGTAATTAGGAATTCTATTCAAGTAATTTTGCATGCGTAATTAAGATATTTGATGAAAACACTAGTGACTTTCATCAAGTATCCAAATAGCATCTTGTGATCAAATAGGTGATTATCATTGGCTGAATTACTTCATGAATTATTAATGAATTTGAGAATGTGAAATGACACCCTTTCGTATCATGACTATAAAAGTGGTCAAACACAATTCATATTTTTATACTGTTCTCCTTTATTTCAATCACACATTTTTGTTTCGATTCACTCTAAAAAGACATGACTTGTGTTCTTCCCAATTCGTGCTATTAAATTTCTGGTCAAGGAAATATTAAAGTTCTAATTGTTGCAATTTTGTTACAATGATCCTGTAACATGTCAAATAATCAAGAAAGGAAAATTTGCACTATGGATTTAATTAAACATTGTTATGAGTAAATACATGTGATTGCTATCATGTGATCACCCTCTTTTCCTAACCAACATTTTTCTAACCAACCTCGTCCCCAGGGTATTTTGCCTCCATGGCTGAAGGTCATGGGATCGGCCGATCAAGTCTACAATCTTATTCGTTTGAAGACAATCAAATTTTAAAGCACTAAAGTTACTACATTTCTGAACAGACCAATGGGATTGTAGAATTGATCGGCCGATCCCTGGCCATTTTCGCCGACATTCAACCGTAGATGAAAAATGCTGGGAAGGACGACATTGTTTTTCTAACCTGTGCAACTTATCTATACATCTACTAAAGGCCTCTGATCGCTCAAAACATTGAGATTTTTCAAATTTTTATGAAGTACATTCATAAAATTGCATATTTTCTAAGAAAAGGCCCTTTTAGTCCGTTGCCAAGTTTACCATTTATGTTCTTTTTCAGACAGACAGTTCACTCTTAACGGAGATATGGGAAAAGATGCAGACCAGCTATAAAACATCTGTGCAGGAGATAACTGATGTCTACAAGCTCAAATTGGACTATTTAAAAACTCTTTGTATTTAAGCGTTTTAATCGACGACCTTGTGCAAAACAAGACCAATTAACAATGGCAATGTAGAAGATAACATCCTTATAATATGTACTGAAAAATAATTGGAAATAGTATATAGGAATCATTTTATACAAAAGTCACAAATCACAGTGTTCTTCTTTGCGGTTTCATTTAGAGATTTTTTGGGTGTGACCTCTGATATATTGTGTGTAAAAAACAAACTTCATTCAAACAGAGCTACCAATACTAGCACATACAAAACATATTAAATTTATAGAAAGACTAGATTAAGAATTAACTATTATTGGATGAGGTTTTCGTGATATGCGGAATTATCAATGTCGAGCTAAGCGTTATCAGCCCAGCCGAAGGCGCAGGGCATTTTTTAACTATATAACTGGGGGGGCCAAAGCCCCCCCCCCCCAGCCCCCATGGTGCCCCCCCCCACTCAACCATTTTGGCCCCCCCCAGTCAAAGTCCCTTTTCTCTAAAATATAAGCAAAACATGGAATTTAGAAGGGAGGTTTGATATTCTAGTAACTGAAATTTGCTTTGTGAATCTTATGTCCTGTCTTTTATGTTTAATAAATACCTTATTAGATTTTAAACATTTCCCAGGCAGTGGATTGCATTTCCCAGACCCTATAGATTTGAGTTGTTGGACAAGTTAGTGACCGCAGGGGGCAACAGGCCCTCAACCAAGTGTTTTATAAGGGGAGGGGGGGGGGGATAATTTTGGCCCCCACCAAAAAAAAAACAATTTGATTTCGAAACTAGAAGTATTTGAAATCATATATACATATAATCAAATATCTGTAATCGATATTTTGATAACATTTCTCGTAATAATCCATCCTGACTCGCGGATATCATAGACTCACAAATCATAATGAACGAATTAATGAAAGGGCCAAACAAAAGACGTATAGAAGACTTTGAAAATGCCATTTCCGATGATTTAGAGACGCAAAATTTTCAAAACATTTTCCGCTCTGTGCCAACCATGGTGGCGCTTCGTGGGAGTCGGGAACTCTAAGTTTATCAAGCTGGCTCCCTAAGTGACGGCCAAGTTGTGGTATCTACATAAACATACTATGCAAGTACTTAACTGAAGGTTCAGTCTATCTACAGCATAATGTAATGCTGTATATCCAAAAATCTGTTTCAGAAAATGCAGGGAATTGCAGTCATAGGGGTAGAAAAATACAAAATTTTCTGGGGAGAAAACCCCAGACCCTCTCCAGGGCCGTAGGGTCATTCATTTTTCAAAATCATGCAGACCTTTATTATTTAATCCATGACAAACTGCAAAGAATGAAGATATTACCCATACTTTCTTGCAACTTATCCAATATATCGTTAATTAAATACACCTTCGTCCATTTAGTACTACTGAATTCTAAATTTCCACATACTAAAAACGCTGTTTTCTGACAATCAGAAATCTGTCAAATCTTCCCCAAAGTCCAGGAAATGGCATTTCAGAAACTCTAAATTTAAAAATTTCCTCGGGCCTTCGGCCCTCGCTTTCAGCCCCCCCCCAAACGAAAAGAGCTTCCTACGGCCCTGCTCTCCCCCCCCCCCTACTATTAAATGCGATACCACACCAAACTTTTTGTTACCAACAAACCATCTATGATTGCTCCACACTCGGTATAGTATGGTCCCTTTTTGTAGATGGCCCGCCCACTGACGAATTCTTAAAAAATGCCCTGCGAAGGCGAGGCTGATAACGCTTACCGAGACATTGATAATTTTGCATATCGCAAAAACCGAATTTAATAATTGTTTTATTATACATTTGTTTGTGTTCAATAGATGTCGCTTGCTAATCATCGCAGGCTCGTTTGCAGACAACTCGTTATTTAACAATTATTCGCCGAAGGCGAGGTGATTATCGGTGAATAAAAACCGAGACGAAGTCGAGGTTTTTATTTACCGATAATCACCGAGCCTGAGGTGAATAATTGTTTTAGTATAATGTCATAGGTGATTATTTGGAAAAAAATTTAAAAATGCTCATTTCTTCGTCTTTCAATTGACAAACCGGCTTCGGCCGCCATTTTGAAAATCGCTTAGGTGATTATCGCGTAATAATCACCTCAACGGTAACCAATCAGCGTGGAGAATTTTCAATAATCACCTATGTAATTATACTAAAATTGATTAATAATACTTGGCTATCAATGTCCCCACAGAATTGTCTTTCATTGCAACATCTCCACGATTATTAAAACAACGAAATTATTTCTTTAGTTGAGCTTATAAATCAAATCTCCTCTGAGATCAGTAAACCTGGTATTACTGCACCGCATTAAGTAGTGCTGTTCGTTTTCGACTTCGTTTAAATCGCAATGTTGACAAATTCGTTCATCTATGACCTGAAATTTAGGGCCGTCGCGAGCAGTCTTCTTTTGGGCGGGTGGCCCAAAAAGCTATCTTAGGTATTTGTGGTCCAAAAAGATATCTAAGGTTCTGTGGGCCCACAAGTCAGCTCATTACGCATTCAGAATATATCACGCAAGGAAATTGAACTACTAAAGCGAAAATTTAGCCCCAAACAAATTTTAAATCAAAAGCGCTAAAGAAGCGCCTCTTACAGAGATATGGACAAAATTGGACTGAAATTTGTATACATTTACCTCCAAAACGACAAATTTAATTAGGTTGAAAATGTTAAGAAACACATCTTTATGCAAACGTATGGAGAACATTTGTACAAATTGAAGTAAAATTTTATCCAGACCTCTGTAAGAAGTGCTTCGTAGCATTTTCCATTTAAAATGTGTTGTTTGGAGGCTAAATTTTTGCTTTTATAGTAGTTCAATTTTTCCTTCGTGATATATTTGAAACAAAAATGTAAACAAAACACGCGCATGAGCAGAACGGACTTGACAGCCTCTTTTTTTTTCATATTCATTAGAATTATATTATTCTTTAATATTTTGAATGTTATTAACTTACTTCGATTTCTACCTTGTTAAATCTGTACTTTGCAGTAATTTATATTTATAAAGTGCTCTTTTAAATTATTTTTAAAATAAACTCTTTCTGGGCTATAATAAAATTTAAGGTATATTCACTTTTATATTACACAGTTCCAGCAAATTTTTGTAAAGGGTACTGGTTGTAAGTTTAGATCCATACATACTTCTCCCGCTACACCAACAAGAGTATCCTTAAAGTGCATATGACATGAATTTTTTTATTTTCTTAAATGAAAGAACTCTATAAGCTGTAGTGTAACTTATTTTTCAGTTTCTCGTTTTCATGGTTTATTCCCGAGATATTTCAATTTGTTTGGTATGTAAATGGTGTGAATATGTCCCCTAATTTATGACGTCACGTTGGTTGCTAGCTCAACTTACACTGGTTATAAATCTATTAACTCTAAAAACTGTAGATATAAGTTCACGTTTTTCTCCAGTATTTCATCACATTTACTAGTGAGTGAAGTTAGATATATTATCTTGGATGATAGCCGTGATATTCAACCATTTTGAAGAGCTTGCAACCAACGTGACGTCATAAATTAGCGGACATATTCACAATAATTTACATACCAAACAAATTGAAATATCTCAGAAACAAACCATAAAAACAAGAAACTGAAAAATAAGTTACACTACAGCTTAAAGAGTTCTTTCATTTAAGAAAATAAAAAAATTCATGTCATATGCACTTTATATGATGTGTTGTTGATATACATGGCCACGTAATTTTGCTACCATAGTAGTGATTTGTATAATTAGAACCATTCTCCCCAAGGGTAAAATCCATCAGTGGTAAAGTCTCACGTTTTTAGAAGCGTTTGGCAATATTTCATCGACGAATTTTTAGGTCTGGCCCAGGTTCGCCCGGCGTTACAGCTGTCTACCTTGGTGTTCTTTGTTGTGGATAATATTAGGTGATAAACAATATAAGCTGTATTCAACGAAATGGCCTGAAAATCGACGAAAGTGAATTAGTGAATGACACAGTAAACAAATAAGCCCACCAATATTTTGAATCGGCGCGTATTTAGGCATTTTTTACAGTATTTTACAATATATAAAGTGTATGTTAGGCCTAAATCGCATTCTCATCATGTTTTTATATCATTATATCAAACCTAAATTCCTATAGGAATGAAAATTGATTTGCTAATTTCTATAGGAATTCCTATAGGGGATATTTCAAAACTTCCTACTGGAATCCATTCCTCCTAATTCCTTAAAAAATTCCTATTCATGGAATCCAATATTTTAGGATTAAAGATTGGAAAGATTGGAAGAAAAAAATTCATGATTACTAGATTACATTGATATCGAAGGAACTAGATTCTGTTCCGAAATATCACAAACTCGAACCGACCTGACCGCGTAGCTCAGTTGGCAGAGCATTGGGCTAGTATTCCAAAGGTCGTAGTAGGTTCGATTCCCACCATGGCCAGGCATATTTTCAAGCTTGGTCGGTGTGGATATACACTCGGATATCATAATGTTTTTCGGATGTTACTCTGAGTGTATATCCACACCACCGGGCAGGCTGAAAAGTTAGCTTGACCACGGTGGGAATCGAAGCCGCGACCTTTGAGATACTAGTCCATAGTTAATATAATGAGACTAGTCCAATGCTCTGCCAATTGTGCTACGAGGCCAAATCTGTTCGAGTGTGTGATATTTCGGAACTAAGTTTAGTTAAAAAAAGTCATGATCATAGAACACATTGGTATCGAAGGTACTAGACTTCGTTCCGAAATACCACACCGCTCGAACAGGCTTGGCCTGGTAGCTCAGTTGGCAGAGCATTGGACTAGTATCCCAAACTCACAGGTTCGATTCCCACCGTGCTAAGAGTAACATGAAAAACATTACATGAAGTACTTCCAACTGCTACAGGCCATAAGGATCGTAGGCTCGGAGTGACGGAGTACCAACCATAGATATAGGAGATCTAGATTGCTAACGCATACCTAGCGCAGGCGGGGCCTACATGATAAATCCAAGATGGCGGTACAACAGGGCAAAAAGACTATAGATTCTATTACGAAAATCAGGATTTTTGCATTTTTTGCCGTCGCATTGTTTCGAAACTTATTCGGTCAAATTTTATGGTGAAGAGAAACTTACCGCGAAGATTTTGAGCATATATATGATTGAATTGGATGAAAAATCGCAAAATTATCCAGCGATAAAAGTTCGTGTGAAATGGTCAGTTCGTCATTTGGAGCGTTTTATTGCCCGAAATACTGTGCTATGTTAACATCTAGCATTGTGAATGATGTTTTATATTTGCATCTCTCATCATCATCTGTTCTGTCCTCATAATTATGAAAAATGAACTGTTATGTACCCCCCCCCCCCTCCTTGCTTGTTAGAGAAGTAAACTGGTGAGAGCACTGGATGAAGGTCTATCATCTATGGTCTGTTATAAGTTGCTTTTTATGCAAATAGTGAGCAAAAATTAAAGCGAAACTGTACAAGTTACATATATAGTACTATATCAGTACTATACACGAACTTTTCTCGATGGATAATTTTGCGAGTTTTCATCCAATTCAATCATATATATGCTCAAAATCTTCGCGGTAAGTTTCTCTTTACCATAAAATTTGACCGAATAAGTTTCAAAACAATGCGACGGCAAAAAATGCAAAAATCCTGATTTTCGTAATAGAATTTATAGTCTTTTGCCCTGTTGTACTGCCATCTTGGATTTATCATGTAGGCCCCGCCTGCGCTGGGTATGCGTTAGCAATCTAGATCTCCTATATCTATGGTAAGTGCTTCCATTTTCTAAGAAAATTCTAGTGTCGAAAAGGAAAATCTAAGGAAGAGAAAAAATCTAAGGATTTTTTCCGAACAACTTAAATATTCATCCAACGGCATTAGTGCATGAAGAAAGTTTCATTATTTTAGAAACCCAGAGACCTAGAAACCCAAAGACCTAGAAACCCAAAGATCTAGAAACCCAGAGACCTAGAAACCCAAAGACCTAGAAACCTAAAGACCTAGAAACATAAATACCTAGAAACCCAGGGACCTAGAAACCCAGAGACCTAGAAACCCAAAGACCTGGAAACCTTAGGATCCGAAGACTTAACCAAAACCTACAATAAACCTTATAGTTTACATTGATGACGTAATTAATATATATTAAATAATAAAGTTGCTTTGTCGATTATGATAATTATTCACGACGTCACCCATGACCCCTTATAGATACAAATTCTAACCCAAAAATATGAGATACAACGATTAAAAAGTATGAATTACGGGTAAAGTGTACGTACATGACGACCCGCACGTTTTGAAAAACAACGGGATCTGCAAACTGAGTTTGCAACTTCAGCTAATCGCATTATTAATTACCGCTATAAGATGTCATCAATCCAGGTTCAGTTGCTTAGACGCAGTGTGAAACCAAGCAAGTAATAAGTTAATTATCTGTTATGCATTAAAATAAAAGTGTACAAATATGTCACAATGCTGACTGTTGACAAGTCACCTAGGGCCAGGCTATACTATATAGCGTACAATGTGTAATAAGGCTGCGTATAATATGTAATAATATTAAGACTTGTGTGTTGTAAAACAAAACGTTCTTGGTATCTTAGAGAATAGCACGATAATTCCATGTCAAGACCGCGGAAAAAATTTGCCGTTTTAGATCTTGGCAGTATAAAGAGTCCGGCTTCAAAGGCGTAAGTTTTCTATGGCTAATAATAAAGAAACTGACTTATAAAGTTATATAATTATACCGCCTTTCCCTATAGGCCCTAGTGCGCACATCAATCTGGTACAAACGTTTTCACCAACGTATGTATCAAATGTATATATTATTCCAAAAACAATAGCTGCATTGACACCATTGTCTTATAGCTAATCTACGGAATCTACGCCCGCGCCTGCGTTGTGAGGCAAAGAATAATATAAGACTCCTTTTAAGCTTCCACTGGTTAAGAAAAGATGGGACATCTTCATAACTTAACAGCAAAAGATGGGACATCTTTCTGACACAAGATTTTCCACTAAAAGTATTCTAGATATTATTCCCAAACCTAGCGCTATCGCTGCATGCAGCCATGCACCGTTTTACTCTAACTTAGCGTGATGTAAAGAATAATATAAGACTCCTTTTAAGCTTCCACTGGTTAAGAAAAGATGGGACATCTTCATAACCTGTCAGCAAAAGATGGGACATCTTTCTGACACAAGAGTTTTCACTAAAAGTATTCTAGATATTATTCCAAAACCTATAGCGCAAGCTGCCCCGCCTTACTCTAACTTAGCGTGATGTAAAGAAAAATATGACTCCTTTTAAGCTTCCACTGGTTAAGAAAAGATGGGACATCTTCATAACCTGTCAGCTAAAGATGGGTCATCTTTCTGACACAAGAGTTTTCACTAAAAGTATTCTGGATATTATTCCAAAACCTAGCGCTATCGCTGCATGCGCCGCTTTACTCTAACTTAGCGTGGTGTAAAGAATAATATTATAGACTCCTTTTAAGCTTCCGCTGGTTAAGAAAAGATGGGACATCTTCATAACCTGTCAGCAAAAGATGAGACATCTTTCTGACACAAGAGTTTTCACTAAAAGTATTCTAGATATTATTCCAAAACCTATAGCGCAAGCTGCATCGCCTTACTCTAACTTAGCCTGATGTAAAGAATAATATAAGACTCCTTTTAAGCTTCCACTGGATAAGAAAAGATGGGACATCTTCATAACCTGTCAGCAAAAGATGGGACATCTTTCTGACACAAGAGTTTTCACTAAAAGTATTCTAGATATTATTCCAAAACCTATAGCGCAAGCTGCATCGCCTTACTTTAACTTAGCCTGATGTAAAGAATAATATAAGACTTCTTTTAAGCTTCCACTGGTTAAGAAAAGATGGGACATCTTCATAACCTGTCAGCAAAAGATGGGACATCTTTCTGACACAAGAGTTTTCA